GTTGAACTAAGCAACTGACTACTAGTCCAAGAAACTTGGACTGAAACACATTTAGAATCTATTAAAAATATCACCACTAGTTTTTGTTTTCTCCCTCTTTTTCATTCTTTTTAAGCTTTTGTAGAAGAGTATATAAATATTTGGCCTATCTTTAATATCTCACCTTTTATTTTTTTTCCAACTCAAAAACAGTAAGTTAATCTAGTATACAGTCCATTATTCTCCTCAAATACGACATACTGAGATGCAGTATTCACAGTGGTCACTTCAGTCAAAAGCCAGCATCAGTCATGCATCAAGAGCCTCCCTGCAAAGGCAGTACTTGCACTGGACAACTGGTTCCTCACAGCTCAGGTAGGAATGTTTTTTCAAAAACTGTTCAATCTTTTTCTGTTAGGTAAACTGACAAAAATGCTCTGAGAGCCACAAGTCAACAGATAATGAAACTACAGTACTGTATCATTCATAAAAACGTCTTTTTCATATCAAAGATGTCTTGGGAAAATAAGTAAATAGAAGTTATTTAACATACCTTTGTATTTTATCATTATCACAACAATGGAAAGCAACTAAGACTTAGGGAGAAATAAAAATAACCTAAACTAGTGGTACAGGGCATACAAATACAGAAACTGCAGAAGTCAGACTACAGCAATTTTTGAGAGTTCAGCTGCTTGTTTTTTAAGACATTCATTTCATCACATTTATTAGTGTGCCTCACACAGGAAGATACACTTAAAATTTTCATATTTATTTTCAAATTATATATAAAGTGTTTTAATCATGTTATTAACTCTAGCCTAAAAACCCTAATAATTCATGTCAAGTGAAATAATTTTTCACTTGCATAATATATTACCCTACAATATACCTTTCAGTGAAAAGATGACAACTGTCTCCTAAACTGCTGAAGGCTGTTAGACATTAGATCAATAATCAGGTATTTACTGAGCACCTACTATGATTGCACTCAGCCTATATACATTCTTTAACAAGTAAGAAGTAAATATCTGCTCGAAAGGTATGAATGATGAGGAAGGACAATATATGACCATTTTTGATAGAATGCTGTTTGAGTCAACATTTGGATATTTTAAATTATAAATCCTTATGACATAAAAATAGTCAAATGTATTATTTATCACTTTATAATCATAAACAATCTAACGTATACTGCTTAGTACTTTAAGGAAAGTGATTGCCAGACATAAAATTAAGGTTGATTTTGTAAAGGTGTGGGAGAAAAACCAGAATGATATGATTTATGAACCACTAAAGACTTAATATAAGCAGTTTATACAATTACCTAGTTAATTAGGGCAAAATGGTACTTGTGTAATATTTCCAACTTTGCTGGAGGTTGGTCTAATAAAGAAAATTGACTTATGAACACTAAACAAATATAAAAATTAAAATCCTGTGGATAAAATTCTTTGTAAAAACTGTCATATAAATTCGAGATCCAAATCTGTTATGTGTATATACACACATTTAAATACCTTAAAAGAATCTAAACTTCACTTGCAATGTTGTAAAATTGTTTGTCTTTACCTGTGTATTTGCAACTGATTATGTATTTCATGCAAAATGGGTGCATTTCACTTAAAACAACCATAAGAATATAGACAATGATGAGACAGAGCTGGTTTTTCCTCTCTAGCTTTCATCTATTGACTTGACCCTACAACATACAAGGAATTTAATGTGTTCAACATGTACAAGACTTGCACATCTCTCTCAGGGAAAAAGAAGTCGAGGAAGTAAAATAATAGTCAAATTGAAAGCCAACAGTATTCGTTTTCCTCAAAATGATTGCTGAAAATTAAGAAGGGTGCCAAATAAACAACTACCATATTGCCTACCTCCCAAAATGGAAACACAATACATAAATCATTCCCATGGAAGAAATACAAAGAAATCCAAAGGAGCCATAGGGACAAAAACAGCAAGGTGAACAACAAGGCAGTCACACAGCGTCTACTAGCTACTATGCTGGTAGTGGTTTATACAAAATACTATATATATTTAAATGTTAAGAGCTAGTAATATATTTAACATATTTTTGCTTTTTATTTTTTTGCCAGTAAATATAAAATTTTGTTGTAAATTTTTGTTCTAAATGACTAAATCTTTTACACCCGGAGGAATAACAACAGTCCAATAAAAGAAATGTCAGGGTTAGTTTTGTGGATCATATTATTGTCCAGAAAGCACAACCTATATATAGCTAATATTCTTGGAAGCACAATATTTGAGCAGCAGACTAAGCTATTGCTTATTATTATTATTATTTTTTTAGCAAAGAGTTTGGTTTTACAGTGTTATCATGGCCTGGTAAGATAGAGAAGTCAAAATTGGGAGCCTGAGGTTTCTCTTCCTACACCAGAGCCACAATGGATACATTGGTTTTCTGTCTTCAGTATAAACACAACATATCACTGCCCTTTAGGAATATATTATTTAAGAAATCTCTGTAAAGCACTTTGGAATCTTAACTATATTTTTAATGAAATTATAAGCAACTATTTGCTGTTGTGAAATATGAAATTCCTATCCCTCCTCACAGACAAATATATAAAATGACATATTTAAAATTTCAACTCAGTGTTTACTTTTTTTCTAATATCTGAAAAAAAAGACCTAATCCCCCCTGCCTCCCCAAACCACCCTATATCATGGTGAATCTGAGAAGGAAGCAAGATCCTTGAAGTAAGGCAAAGGATTAGTTTAGGACAACCATCTGATCTTTATTTTGAGGCAGGGTGTCAATTTCGCTCTGAACACATGCGGTATACATTTTAGGCTTTGTGCATGTGTCATCTTCTAAATGTTAGTTCTAACCCCAAAATGTTAGTTGTCAGAGACAAAGAACTAGTCTCTCTCTACTTGGTAGGGTGCCTAAAAATGTTAGCTAATTAAACACAATGTATTAGGATCCTACTTTCTTTTATCAGTATATCATATAATAAAATATCCCATAGGACCATGCCTAGCTATGGGAATAAAAAAAAATAGTGAACCATAATCAGATATTTGATAAAACTTCCATACTCTGCTTTCTGCTTAAACATTCAGTTCAATGTAATGTAATCTTGCTTCTCCCAAAAGTAAGAAAGGCACTCAAATTAACACAGTACATATAGCTGCTTTTTTCAAAGACACTGTGTGATGGGGTTTATTTTTCTTGCTCATTGCCTTAATGACACTGAATTTGCCTAAATTTTTCAGTGCCTCCACAAAGGTCTCTAATATACAGGAGTTCATTACAGAGCATGGGAAGATGATAGCACAAAAAATGCTAGCATTTGCAGTTCTACTTGAGAAATCATCCAAAAGGTAAAAGGTCCAGTTGTTACAGCGCTGTTCAAATTTCTTAGTATGTTGTAAATATCTTAAAGTATTAAAATATAATTCTCTAGGAACAAAGTAACAGTACATTTAAAAGGTTCGTTTGTTTTATTTTTTTGCAAAAAAAAAAAATCCTGTTGCTTCCTTTTACAACTAAAATTTTAGCATCTTTCATAGTCCACAGGACCTGGGGTAGACTGTTATACAGTAACTGGTAATTTCACTTTTAAATTGCATTTAGCCCATTGTCAGATACCACTTTGTGCTATATAAAGGAAAATAATAAGACTGACAATTTGTAGCAATATTACAAGTTCTCTTTAGTTATACACACATATACTAAACACTCACTCACTCACACACACACACACTAAGTATGAACTGGTATCTGAATATATCTAAATTATGTGTTCACCCAATGTTTCCATAAAATGCCTACAACTTTTGTTTCCACAACTGATGTCACAGGAGGCCTTATTTGAAGATATAAGTGGCTTTTAGTGATAATCTGTATATATCCCTCTTAATAATTAATGAAGTAGGGTACAATCCCTACCACTGCGGGGGGAAAACCCACAAAACAAAGAACTATTGACACCTTTAACTTAAATTAGAACCATCCCAGAGAAATAAGAAATATGACTGGAATCTGGGCACAGAGTTTCTAAGGAGGTAATAAGGGTATACTAATATGTATCAATCCTTTTTTGTTTTTTTGGTTGGGGATTGAACTTGGGTACTTGCACTTGTGAGGCAGGCACCAGAACCACTGAGCTAAATCCTGGCCTAAAGTTCTTAATCTTAAAACATGACTCACATAGGTTTAGGAAGTATCTAAAAGGTTCACAGTTCAAGTTGGAGAGAAAAAAAAAGAGAAGCATAAAATGCTTCAGGCACAGATACAGATCAACAAGTCACCAAAATCAAAGAATTTATTCATTTTCTGTCCAAGGTGGCTCTCACCATCCTATGTGATAAGAAACTAGTATTCTTAACGCAGGTGGGTTTCTTCAGCTCTGGGAGCTTTTAATAAATATTAAGGTTCAACTGATAATTCTAGAGCTACATTTCTTGGCTGGGATTTTAACAAAGTAATGAAATGAAGAAAATAAATCTAAATTAATTTATTCTAGACGTGATTATTCTCCTTAAACATTATGAAGCCAGAAAACATCATTTACCACAATCCATTTATTTTTCTCAATCATCATTCTACCAACCACTCATCACTAATCTTTCTTCAGATAGTTAATCAGTCATCAATAAATACATGATAACTCCTCACAGTGTGCCGGACACAAAGTAGAATATGGAAACAATTTATTACCAAAATAGATATACAAAAAAAAAAAAAAAAAAAG